CTTGCGCTCCGGCCGTGCCCTGGTTGGAGGGGGATGCAGCTGGTCTGGCAGCGGCTGCTCTCAGGAGCGCTCAGAACCTCTTCCTACGGCTGTGGCCACGGAGCTAAAGGCCAGGTCCTCTCTTCCGTACTGCGCTTCAGGTTATGCGTGGATGCAGGCAGTTTTCATCACCTCCTGAAATCTGATCGTTACAGCGGTTGCTGTAACTTCAAGCTCAACTGGTGAGCTAAGACCAAACCAAACTTTGGGAGCCAGGCTCTGTCCTTATTTTCCCAGACAGCCACGCTGATGACAGGTGACACAGCGTGAGCTATCCAACTCAGAACCACTTTCCTTGATTGATGTTTCATGGTCTGGGCAAAGAAAATGAAACCCTGCCAATTTTCCCAGCCCTTGAGCCTAGGGAAGATGATTTCTGATCACAGAATCACAGATTCACAGAATCACAGGATGTTCGGGGTTGGCAGGGCCCTCTGGGGATCCCCCACTCAACCCCCTGCCCAAGCAGGGTCACCCAGAGCAGGCTGCACAGCACCGCGTCCAGGCGGGGCTGGAATATCTCCAGAGAAGGAGACTCCACAGCCTCCCTGGGCAGCCTGGGCCAGGGCTCCGTCACCCTCAGAGGGAAGAAGTTCTTCCTCGGGTCCAGCTGGAGCTTCCTCTGCTTCAGTTTGTGCCCGTTGCCCCTTGTCCTGTCGCTGGGCACCACTGCAAAGAGTCTGGTCCCTCCCTCCTTACGCAGGCACCTGGCTCTGGAGTCCCTGCAGTCTTTCCAGAAGGCTCTGACACATCTGCTGGCAGCAGGCAGAGGGGAGTGGAGGCTGGGGAGGTGCAGGTGTCTCCCCCTGCCCCAGGTACCAGGGGGCTCATGCTGAAGCATCAGCGGTTACTGCTCTCTCTGACTTGCCGCTCTGCCTGACCTGAGGTTCCGGGCAAAAGCGGGGAAGCAGGGGAAGGGTTTCTGCCTGTCGCTGGAGGTGCTGCAGGAGCAGCCACAGTGTGGGGACACGGAGGAGGAGCAGTGTTGGAAGGGTCAGAGCAGAGCACTTGGAGCTTGGGCTGTCCCAGCCACGTGCCCAAAGGAGCAGCCCTGCAGCCTGGTGCTTGGCCCACCAAATTTTAAGACAGTTTTACTCCAAGAAGGTCCCACCTCTAGAGCTCTCCTTCATACTCACAGTCTGGAGCTCTTCTGCCTCGAAAATGTGAGGAAATGCCCACGGCCAACCCTTGCTAGGCTGTCTGAAAAGCTCACCACCTTGCCTCCGGAGCGAGGCTGCATTTCCAGGCTGTCCTCAGAGACTCCAAAACAAACTGGGCACCCACAGACCTGGAGGGTACAGGTTGTTTAACTGCCTTGTTTCCTGACCTTCCTGGCACTGGTACGCTACTGTCACTCTGCCACTAGAAGTGATTTCACCTGCACATTTCAGCCAGGCCCAGAGGACTGGGTGCCAGGAACCAGGCTTTGGGCAGACAACCAAGGGACTCATAGATAGGTCGGTGGGGGCTCTCCGGGATGTGTAATATTGAATTGAATAGGTCCCAATACACAAAAAACCCCCCAGACCTGAATAACTTCACAGGAGAGGATGGCTCTTGAAAACAGAAACCCCCCACACTTTCACCACTGAATCTGAGGCATTTCAATGCAGATACAAGCTTTCTGATGAGGAAGGCACCAGCCCAAGCCCAAAACCATCCTGAAGATGCCAGGACCCTGGACAAGCACAGCACCCCGCTGGATGTGTCTGTGAGGCCCCATCCCAATCTCCCCACAGTATGGGGAGCTGCAGGCAGCAATGCCTGGAAGGAGATCCCAGGCAGCGAGATGCTCCCCTGTCCCAGCAAGGAGCCCAGGCAGGGCTGCCCTGCAGCCTCGCGAGGAGCCCAGTGCCCCAGCAGGGATACGCAGTGCCCGTGCAGAATCCCAGGCTGTGACACCCTCGGCGCCCTGTGTGGGTGCTGGCTGGGGTGCCCTGAAAGGAAAGCCTGGGCAGGGCTGTCCCAGTGCTGCAACGGAGCCCAGGCAGGGATGGCCTGGCAGGGATGCCCCGCACGCTGGCAGGGAGCCCGTGCAGGGGCACTGCAGTGCCCCAGCATGGCTGCGGGTTTGGACACCCCAGTGCCCTAGCAGGACGCTCAGGCAGGGGTGCTCCTGTGCCCTGGTGAGGACATCCATGTGAGGATGTCCCATGCCTCCCTGGGAATGCCCGGGCAGGGACGTCTCTATGCCTCAGCAGATTCCCTGGTGCCCTGGCCGGAATGCCAGGCTGGGATGTCCCATTCCCCGGCAGGGACACCCTGTTTTTTTGGCAGGGATGCCATCTGGATTCCCGGGTTCCCCAGCAAGGATGCCGTCTGGGATTCCCTGGTGCTCTGGCGGGGGTGCCCGGGCGGGGGTGCCCCGGTTGGGATGTCCAATTCCCCAGCAGGGATCTCGGGGCAGGGAAGCCCTGTTTCCCTGGAAAGGATGCCGTTTGGGATTCCCTGGTGGTCTGGCGGGGATATCTGGGCAGGGATACCCGGTAGGGATGTCCCTGTGCCCCAGCACTAATGCCCGGGCAGGGATGTCCCTGTTTCTCTGGGAAGGATGCCGTCTGGATTCCCTGGTGGCCCAGCAAAGATGGCCTGTTTCCCTGGGCAGGATGCCGTCTGGGATTCCCTGGTGCTCTGGCGGGGGTGCCCGGGCGGGGGTGCCCCGGTTGGGATGTCCAATTCCCCCGCACGGACATCGGGGCAGGGA